GTAGCACACATAATAAAAAGGCTTGTAGTCATGCATAGCTTACTGTACTTTCCTGTCAACAGTGTGTAAATTCTACAGGCTACAAATATAAACTTTGCAACAGTTTATCTTGGGATCCTTATCTGGTAGAAGTTGCATGTAGAATTCTTCTGTTTGGCCTGGAAATGGGCTAAGAAGAGGTGTTAGTATTAGAGGTGTCTCTGTAAAAATTGTGGTACAGTAGGATACAATCCTGTGATTCAGGGCTCCCATCTCTGTAGGGACAAAGCCTTTCAGCATAGGTGATTTTGGGGTATTAACCCTCTGACATTGTTGACGGTAAGATATTCAACTACAACAGTACAAAGCACTCTTCCCCACATTTGTTATTTGTAAGTTGGGCCAGATATAATGCTAGTTTAAAATTAAATTTGCTGTACCCCAACTGAGCTCTGAGTGACAATCTTGGCTGTCACCCAGTATCTAAGTGTGTATAGCCTGGCCCTTGTTATAAATCCTGCCTCCAAATCTACAGCAGTGTTAGGCACCCATTCTGCTACCTGAAATAATTTTCTTAGGAAGCCAGCTTGAACTCTCTCCAGTTTCTCATAGTTGACACTGGATTTAACTGCACTCCACAGAGGAGCTATGACAGTGTCTTGGCTTCAAAAAGCTTCAAAGCAGCTATTCTGTTCTGTTGCTATCTCTGTACTATTACTATGATAATTACTATTACTGTAACTCTATACTATTACTATTCAATTACTATTACTATGGCAATCTTTATAGTATACTCTTATACTATGAATACTTATACTATTGCTATTCAAAATACCATACTTTATTACTATTACTTATGTACTATTCTCTATACTATTGCTAGTAGGCACCAGTGTTTCTTAAGTCCCCTCTCTCTGAGATTTCTTCTTCTTTTTCTGTTAAATGTCAGCATGTAGAGCCCTTGCACCTTTTTTACATTGTGCTTTGTCTTGCTGGGCCTCTATACTTCTTTTCCTCTCTTTTGGACCATCCAGTCCTTCTGAAGGAAAAATGCCTTAGCTGGAGAACCCCCAAACCCTTGTCTCCTCCCATACCTGTGTCAAGGTTGCAACTTTATTGACATCTCTGCCGTGCTGACATTGGGGGAGAGGCTTGCCTGCGTTGCTTAGTGACAGCAATTCCAGCAGTCCTGGTTGACAGCATTAAACAAGGGCCTCATGACTTCCAACTTCCTGCCAGCTTCCCCATTGACTGCTTGTGGGAAGCTGGCAGAGAATGTCGGAAATCACAATCACATGACCATGGCTTGCTGCAACATGGGACTATGGGGATGCTGCAATGTCCAGAACTCCAAGGACCTGTCATAAATTCCCCTTGTTCAGCACCATCATAACTTTGAACTGTCACTGAACAAATGGTTGTAACCTTGAGGACTACCTGTAAATTGCTTTAATCTACAATAAAAAGAAAATAAGCATAAACCATAATAATAATAATTTATTAAATTTATATGCCAACTGATTCCCAGCAACTCTGGGTAGTTTATGGATTGTTGAAACATTAAACGCAACAAAAAACAAAAATGAACAGTAAAGATGGTACAAATTACAAAACTGGATGGGAACAAAGAAAACAGTGCACACAATCTAAAGTGGGATTCAGTCACCCTTGCCAAAGGGCTGGGTGAAGAGCCAGATCTTCAGAGCCCTTCAAAATAGCAATAGGGTGGGGGCTGTGCAAATATCAGAGGGAACCTCATTCCCGAGAGCAGGTGCTGCTACAGAGAAGGCACACTTCCAGGGTCCTGATGGATGGCATTGTTTAATCAAAGTAACCCAAGGCATACCAATTCTGCCAGATTGGATCAGCCAGGCAGATATTATGGGGGACAAGTGGTCCCTCCAGTAACCAGGCCCTATGCCATGAAGGGCTTTATAGGTAGCAACCAGCACCTTGATTCGGACCCCAAAGCAAACTGGCAACTGGTATAGCTTGTGAAGCCGAGGTGTTATGTAGGCATACTGAGGCATGCCCATCACTGCCCGCACCAGTGCATTCTGGATAAAGTTTCTGGGTGGTCTTCATGGGCAGCACCATGTAGAGTGCATTGCAGTAGTCAAGCCATGAGGTGACCAGGGTGACCTGCCATGAGGGAAGAGCTCCCCAGTCTAGGAAAGGGTGCAATTGGCACATCAGATGAAGTTGTACAAAAGCCTTCCTGGCCACAGCCACCACCTACTCATTGAGCAGGAGCTGTGAGTCCAGGAACTCCCCCAAATTGCATACCACCCTTGAATAGGAAAGTGCAACCCCTCCAAGGTCAGAGATGGAATATCCCTTGATCCAGGCAGCCCAAACACCCATTGCCATTGGATCTTGGAATGTTAACTAGACTGTGCTGCAACAAGAAGTGTGGAGCTAAAAAACAAGGTATTGAAATCCAAGATAACTGGGTTTGCCAGTGTGTCTGCTGAGGATGGGGGGGGGGATCAAAAACAGCAAGAAGGTGGCTGAGACGATTGAAGCCCCAGCTTTTTTTTTTTTTTTTACATGCAACTGCAGCCCAAGTAAAAGAAGTGTGGGGCTTCAGTCGTGCAGTTGCAGTTGTCATCTTGACTATTTTGACCCCATGTAGATGCCTCTGCAGTTGATCGTGCTGGATTATAACTGGAAAAACTCTGGTTCAAAACTCCATTCAGTCATGAAACCACCTAATCTTGGGGCAATTACTCAGTCTAGCCAATCTCATAGGATTTTTGTGAAAATAAACCAGAGGAGAAAGAATATGCATGTCACCTTATGCTTAGGAAGCGGATAAATATAGTAAAAAACAAAAACTAAGCGGCAGTTTCTTCTGAATGAATTGCTGTTATTTATCTATCTATTTATTTATCATATTTATATAGCCGCCCATCTCACACAAGGTGACTCTGGGTAGGGTATAACAATTTAAAAAATAAACACATAAAAACAGTGACATATAAAAAACAGCAAACACACACAAAACAGGAGGGGATAAAATTAATAAGGGAGCCATGGTAAAATCTCCCCGGTCCCCTGGGGAGGAACCCCAGGCCTGATCACATACCCAGGTCCTGAGGGACTTACGGAATTTTAAGAGGATTGGAACTAATCTCACTTCCGGGGGAGAAGATTCCACAAGGGAGGCCACAGCAGAGAAGACCCGCCTCCTGAGCCCTGCCAAATGTAATTCTCTAGCAGACGGGATCTGCAGCATGCCTTCTCTGCCAGATCTGATGGGATGGGCAGATGTAATCAGGGAGAGGCGGTCCCTCAGGTAACCCGGCCCCCTGCCATGAAGGGCTTTAAAGGTCAAAACCAGCACCTTGAATTGGACCTGGAAGCAAACTAGCAACCAGTGCAGCTTGCAAAGCAGAGATGTAACGTGTACCACCCTAGGGGCACACATAACTGCCTGCGCCGCTGCATTTTGCACCAGTTGAAGCTTCCGGATACTCTTCAAGGGCAGCCTCCTGTAGAGCGCATTACAGAAATCCAAACGGGAGGTGACCAGGGCATCAGTGACAGTGATTAAGTCCCTCTGATCTAGGAATGGGTGCAACTGGTGCACAATACAAAGCTGTGCAAAGGCCCTCCTAGCAATGACTGCCACCTGCTCTTCGAGCAGGAGTCTTGAGTCCAGGAGGACCCTCAGATTGTGCACAGGGTCTGTCTAGGGCAGTGCAACTCTATTCAGTACCAAAGATGGCATAACTCTAGCACCAGAAGGCCCCAGAACCCACAGCCACTCAGTCTTGCCAGGGTTCAGTTGAAGCCTGTTGTTCCCCATCCAGACCCTCACAGCCTCCAGGCACCAGGATTCACAGCATCGCTTAATTCACCAGGGGCAGAAATGTATAATTGGATATCATCAGCATACTCATGATACCTCACCCCATGGTGACGGATGAGCTTACCCAGTGGCTTCATGTACATGTTAAATAGGAGGGGGGAGAGCACCATACCCTGTGGCCCCCCACATAACAGGGGCTGAGGGCGGGACCTCTCCTCCCCACCCACCACCGCCTGGAATTAGACCCGCAGGAAGGAGTTGAAC